TGGATGCTGTTAGCAAGCGGCTAGGAAAACGTCCAGCCCTTTCCCCACCCATCAATCGATAGATCTGTCTAATCAAATTAAATCTTGAGCTTGCCAGTGCTGGCCTGAAGCAAGACACGTCGATTCTGCCAGCGCTGAATGGCAATTAATTCAATATAACGCCAGTCTGTCAAAAGGTTGACATGGATACAAACTAGAAACATGAGCAGCTACTCCTGCAAGAACACAGGTCTATGCAGCAGTCGGATCTAATGCCTACCCACATGCCTATTTTTACTGCTACTTCCTTCAGAAGCAGCTGTAGGTGGATAAGGATAACCAAAAATAGACAAGGGCGTACCGTACGGAGTACCTATGGAACAATGTGAAAACCCAAACCGACCTCCGAGAGCTGGATATCAATGACTCTAATATAGCCCTTCACGAAACCGGAATATTCGTTGTTCCCTGGGGATTTAGCGTTAGAGGAGATGGAAGAAGGAAAAGTATCATCCGTTTCGATCTCCCTTTGGTGGGCTGCAGGTTGGATAGTTGGTTGTATATGAATAATTTAGAATGAAATCAAGATTCTCTTCGTTGGAGTGATTGCGGCATAAACAGCTGGATTTACGACTAAAAACAGGACGTGAATCGGACAGAACCAGACAAGTACGTATATCTGGAAGAATCAAGGCCATATCACCCCGACTCCACTTGGAAAGACGAGGAGACGGCGTTGGACATTAGACAGCAAAGATAGAAGAACCACGGATCGCATTGATAGCCCCAGTTAGACAATGTTTCTGATGATACAGAGTTGTATCCCACTTGGCACCAAGCAGCTCCATGGAGCTTGCGAGGAGATAGATTCCTGCTTTCGTGGACGTCGATGAATACTGGTGGTAATAGACGACGAAGTTCGAGACAAGATCAGCGAGAACTAGACGGCTGACTAACCATCCCAGCCTCCAAACCCCAACCAGCTTTTCTTGAAAAATGAACATTCATCTTCCAACACACAGCATCAACACGATGTCCAAGGCACTGGTTCCTGGCTGCCACATTCTCCAGATCTACCATCATGAACAAGGCATGCAGGGTTATGATCCTATGTTCGGGTCTGGTTTCAATCGTCCACTTTCATTTTATATCCTGGGCGTGTAATATCACCCATTCTCCCCAGCGAAAGACATGTCTTTCAGGGTTTTCTCTTCTTCTAGACTTGCCTATACGTACAATCATTGATTGTATTGGATTTCTGGTATATGCAATGATCGGTATCTTCATGATACTGAATTAACATATATATATATATATATATATTGCGGAGCTTCCTATTTAATGCTCCCCTTCGGCTCTTCTCAGAGAACGAATGAACTCTGTATATTTCCTTTTACAAAGATTTCCATATTCATTTTCTCTAGATTGGACTTTCACTCCAACAACTGACCGATCTCTACCACCACCCAGCAATGGAGCGTGTTATGCTGCTTTCGTTCCTTCTGTTTGGTGAGCTCCTTTTCCAAGGGCCTATGTGGATGAAGTGTTACTGCATACTAGTACTAAATATTACATCCAGGGGCGATTACATCGACCTATGCAGATGGAAAAAATGACCACCATGTCTGTGTAGCCTGGTGTGCGTCTACATTCGACAATTCTCTGGCTGAATGTATAATGCTTGCAGGGCATGGAAAAGGCCCTTGTTATGAGTGCGGTCCCTTGAAATCCTCTGACAGCTGGCGATTTCACAATGGCAAGTGTGTTGATGCTCGTGATGACACGCACGAAAAGAGCACCAAGTTTGCGCCAACGACTTTGAAAACATCGGTTGTGCGTTATCCTACTGAGGCATATCCTACCAAGGCGTACCCTACCAAATATCCCACAAAGCTGTACCCTACTGAGGAATATCCTACCAAGGTGAATCCTACCGATTGGTACCCAACCAAGCATCATACGAAGCCATATCCCACTGAGGAGTACCCTACTGAGGAGTATCCCACTGAGGTGTATCCCACTGAAGTGTATCCCACTGATGTGTATCCCACCGATGTGTATCCCACTGATGTGTATCCCACCGATGTGTATCCCACCGATGTGTATCCCACCGATGTGTATCCCACTGATGTGTATCCCACCGATTGGTACCCGACCGATGTGTATCCCACCGATGTGTATCCCACCGATTGGTACCCGACCGACGTGTACCCAACTGAGGTGTATCCCACCGAAACTCATATCACCAAAACCATGACCAGAACTAAAACTCGAACTCACACGCCTAGCACATCAACTCGAGAGACTTCTGTTGGCCCTATCACCACCACTACGACCACTGCTAGCCCAGTCACTACTACCACTACTACCACGAGCAAGCACCAGACTACGACAAAGCGCCAGACTACGACCAAGCACCACACCGCCACTGTCAGCCCAGTGACTACTACTACTACTACCACAACTAGGCATCATACTACGACCAAGCACCATACCACCACCGCCAAACCAGTGATGACTTATCATTAAACAACCACCGCTGCTGCTGTAGGCATGTGACTACCATCACTATCTGCGCAGTTACCGTCACTCCTTAGTTGAAACATTACATTTGGTGTTATGTTATTTTATTCAGCCTCGTTTAAAATGCAATGGCTCCATTGTTTTTTATAAAAAAGTACTTTTCTAGGATAGTAGTGGGGGAAAAACTGGGCAGTCTTTTTAAGTAATTTCTAGTATTAATCTTTCTACCACTTCTATTAATAATGATTTGTTACACTTCCAAATTAGATTTTTCTCATCACTGGTGAACGATTAATATTTTTATTTCATCTTTTTTTCAACAAACTATAAGTTAGAGATGTACATGTTTATCTCCAGTTAGTCAAATTAAAATCCGGATATGACCCACTATCAATTTATATTCTGTAAACTAAGATTTTTCGGGATGCACAATTTTATAATCCATCCAGGAATAATTTTTTTTCTGTAGCTGCTGGGTTAGGAAATAATGAGAGTAAATATGACACTGGAAGTGGCAATCAACCATTCGGCTAGCTATACTGTTAGGTAAGATGTTATTTGTTCGACTTTGTCCATGGCTTCTACTTGCTATTAATTAGGAGAGTCTATGAGCCGACAGCCAAGAAAATATATGTCAGTGGTGATTGTGACAGCTGGGTACCTCATTCAGCCAAAACAGCGTGTTGGAATTGGGGAGGGATGAGGAAGGATACCTACCACGTCCCAATATATATTTTTGTAAGATGAAGTAACTGATTTACAATGCTCAATCTAATCAACTCTCCGCTCCGTGCGGCGACCCCAAACCTCCTCCATGGTAGATTTTCTCTTCGTCTCTGGAACCCACCAGGCCAAAAACGAACCCAACACCACCGCCAGGGCCGTGAAAACCCAATAAATTCTCCCTTTCCCTCCCATAGCCATGTTGAGTGGAGGGAAAAACTGCGCAACGATAAAAGTAGCGGTCCAGTTGGCACCTAGAGCCCAGCTTTGTGTGGCACCAACCGCTTCGGGTCCAACGAGCTCGGAGGCAAGTATAAATGGAACAGGCCCAAGGCCGACAGCAAAACTTGCTACGAATAGGAGCGTCGCAATAGCGGAGAGGATTTTTAAATTAAATGAGATGCCCAGTGCAAGGAGCATGGAGTTGACACCCATGCCAGTGATGCTGAGGAGGAGACATGCTTTGCGGCCGAGTTTGTCCGCTAGTGGAGCGCAAAGGAGGGTAACTATGAGATTGAGAGCGGAGACTCCAACGGCCAGCAGCGGAGCTGCGGTTGGGAGGATGTCGGAGAGTATGGAAACGCTGTACATGACTATACTGTTGATTCCGGTAAATTGCTGAGCGGCCATGACCACGATGACAGCGACGATTGCAGGGCGGTACGTCGGGTTCATTATGACCCCGAGCATGGAGACTTGGGGACGCTTGGGAGGGAGATTCCCCGTTGGTGGTGTGAGAAGAGATTCTTCCTCTGCGGTTCTTGCATCGGTTTGACCCGGCGGAATTCTCCAGGCTTTTACCTCTTGTTCAATATCTTTATTCTTTCCGCGGATCCGCTGGAGGATTAGCAGGGCATGGGTTGCCCGTTGATGCTCAGCCAGCCAGATGGGACTCTCAGGAACAAAGAGCAGTCCAAGGACTTCCAGAGCACCAATGACACCAGCAACTGCAAGGATAATACGCCATAGGCTGCCTTTACTTAGAAAGTACCCCAGGGATTGGGAGAGTAATATTCCGACATTGGTCATGACCTGTGTAAAGGCGCCGAAGAACCCCCTTTGGGTCGCATGGACCACTTCCGCGATATATATAGGCCCGACAACAATTGCAGCGCCAGCCCCAATGCCTGAGATTAGCCGGCCAACGCTTATAGATTCAATGCCAGTGGCAAGGGTTTCGCTAATGGGACCCGTAATAAAGAATATCGTTGTCAAGCGGAGAGCAAGGAGCCGGCCGTATTTGGTTGCAAAGGGCCCCGCGACAAGGGCTCCCAGAAGGCCGCCGAGCGTATAACTTGACGACACGATGCCGAATTGAAACTCATTCATTGGGATACATTGTGGCAGTTTCGAAATGGCTTCTTTTTCCGAGGTAATACTTTTCTTCAAACAGGTGATGACGTCTTTCGGAGCATTGAGCTCAGCCTTGAGATGGGAAGATACGAAGGTTTCCCGTTAATAAAACATGTTTGCTGGAAACGATCATACCACTCCAGGCTGTTTGGTAATTCTAGATCAATACATAGGAACAAATTTACTCACAAGATGATATCCAAATTGGAGAGGCCCCAATGTGGTTATGAATATGATGAATACCAGGTATGGCGTCACAAGCGATTTCGATTCCCACGACGTTGTGGGTGCCATCGCTGCGGCTGGGTCCTTTGATATCAGACAGGATGCAAAAGCTAGCCGGGTAATATTGGCTTCATGCGGTTGAATATTTATTTTCCTGATCTCAGCAGCCAGAGGCAGAGACTTCTGAACGCTGCGGGCAACCCGAAGCGGTTCTGCAGCAGCCCCATCCTTGGCGGCTGGTAGAAACAAGTTAAATATTTAGTTGGAGCTAGAACCCAACTGACGCCAAATCCACGGTTAGCTTGGTAGCAGCTAAAGTTAACAGCATTCGAGAATCAGGGTCGGCCTCGGGGTTGTTTATCACAGGCGGAAACATTCAGGCGACCAGAAACTCTTGACGATTTGCAGGTCTCGTGCGAGATTCCATGCGAAGTTATCATTTAACCTACAGTAGCTGGAACTACACGATTCACAGCCCAATGCCCGGTTCCTGTACAGCTATTACCTGCACTTTTGAGTATTGATATATTTATCAGTACAATATATCCTTGCTTTATTTATTTAGAGTATATGCTTGAACAAAGTCTAACATTTTAGTTGTCTATATCTTCTTTACATTTTTAAAAGATTATAGATAACTATATAGATGTGCGAGTTATTATATTTTAACAGCTCCTGATGTCGATACATATGGAATGAGATATTAATATTTGATGCTGAATGCCTAAATGGTGCTTGGAAGCAGCATCACGAACTCATTTCTAATGCATCTATCCGAGTTCTAGCGAGTTGAGATAATGTGAGTTTTACCTTCAAGGGAGGGATTTGCTGTAGATATGCAATAGAAGCAAAGGATATTATCACTAAGTATGTCCAATCCAGAAGGTCTATTTGGTAGGGATAAGAATTGCCATGTAGGTGGACATCAATTAAGTAAGGCAGACCGGACCGCTTCGTAAATTGAAAATCTCGCCTAGTTTCTATCAACGAGTGTGGAGCTCGACGATGTCATAAGAAGGAATACTTCCTAAGGCATCAATGAAGAAAAGGGAAAACAATCTATCATTACTGGACTTTTTTTGCAACTCAATGAAGTATGTAAAGGGATTTCGCAACGCTTTCTTCGCTTCAAAGTTTTGTTTAGTCTATTGGGACTTCCTTTTTTTCAAAGGCAGAAGGATCATGGGACAAACATATCGAT